TTGACTACCGGCTCGGAGGAGACGTGCTGTGGGGGAGGGGCGGTACAGCGGGCTGCACGGGAGGGGGCGCTGCCGTGTGCCACGTGCGCGTGTGTGACATCGGTGTGGGAGTTCAGCCTGCACGGGGTCACACGCAGAGGACAAGGGCCAGGAGGCTTCTGTTGGCGGTGCACCTTCACTGTGGCGTGGGTGCCAGCGTGACTTGGCCTCTGGCTCTGTGGCCCCGCCACTTTCCTCCTCCCTGGGACAGAATAGCAGATCCCTGCACCTTGAAGGAGAAGTTGGTTTTGGCTGGCGTTTCACGAGTCCCTAGTCCTTGCGAGGCAGAAGGGTCTGGGGTGGGCCCTGCTTGAGGCATGGCGGACAGCAAGGGCGTGAAGGGAGAGGCTGCCCCTTGCAGGGTCTTCCCGTGCAGCCTGTGCGCCCTGGTTTCTGGCAGAGATGTGCCACTGTGGATGCCCAGGCTGGTCTCGAACTCGCAACGATCCTCCTTGTTTCTTTTTAAGGCAGGCGTCCTCGACAGGGGCTCGTATCGCAGCCTTTTGATGCAGATTGTGTTGACAGCCAGGACCGAAGGTGGCCAGGACAGCGGCGTGTGGCTTGCGGTGCCCCTCGCCTCTCTGTGGCGCTGGCACTGCACGGCCCGCTGTTGTCGACCTCGGGGTTTCCAAGCTTCTCTCTCGGGCTAAGACAGAGCTCCCAGTGTCCTCAGTGAACGATGGGTCCTAAGTAGTTTCCAGCGATTTGCTGCAGATGTGCAGAGGCACGCCCCCCGCTCCGCGCATCTGAGCTTCAGACACGGACGGGCTGGGGGTGTCGGGGACGCAGCGCGGCAGGCGGGGCACAGGCCCCCGAAGCTCCTTCCACACCAGTCCCGTTGGGCACTTGGATCGGTCGCTGGGTCCTCGAGGTTTCCCTGGCCCCCGGGTAGATGGCCTTCGGCTCCCTGAGCTGCTCTGTCATCTTCCAGTCCGTCGGCGCTGGCTGCACCCAAGAATTCCCTGACTCCGTACGATGATGGCGTGCCCCGCGCTGGGGTGCACACCCGTGGGCACCGCCGAGTCCCTTCTGCTGTGGCTTCGCCCAGCCTGTGCCTGGCAGAGGTGGGGCCCAGAGTAGGGGTCCTGAGCGAAGAAGCCTTCGCTGGGCTTTGAGTGGCCGCTCCTGGTCTTCACCCCTTTCTCTAGCGTGTGTCCCAGCTGTCGTGCCCCACCCCTAAAGACGGCAAAGCCAGTCCCCATTCACAGATGCTGACGTTGCTCGGCAGAGGGGAAGATGGTCTCCGAGGGTTGGTCGTGTCCCCGGCAGACGGGGCAGCTCAGATCCTGAAAACGTAATGTTTCCCGTCCCTTCGCCACTTCGACGACTGTGCCTAATGCCAAAAGTCTGCAAGCGGTTGCAGTTTTTAGAACTCTCATTCATTGAGAGGATACATAATGACAAAAACAACTACAGATTCAGTAGCAGTGTGAATGTTAAATTAGTTTATACTTTATTAATCTCAGCAGTGTCCATTCACGCTTGTGTGCATGTGTGCAGCACATGATTGGACATCTGGGGACGAGGTGTGCTGGGCATGTGGACCCCAGCCTCCCAGCCAGCAGGTGGAGACTCCCGCTTCTTGGTGACAGTGGCCAACGGGGAGGGCACACAGGTTGACCCACATTCAAACCTGCTTCCCGTCTTGTCGAGGCTGCTGATGGAAGCACACAGGGCCCAGTGTAGTCAGGGAAAACCAAACCAGTACCTTGCTTGCCGGGGGAGCAGCCCGGAAGTGAGCCCAGCCCCTAGGCACCTGGAGGAGCCCACTGTGCTAGTGCAGCGTGGGCGGCCGCTGGCAGGGGCTGGCCCTGGACTTCTCTGCCTTACGCCTCTATCAGGGAAACCTGACTTCTGGAATTCTGGCCCACTGTGAGGAGCAAGGGGAAAAAGGCTGCCTCCCTTAATGGGGGTACTCAGGGCAGGCTTGAGCTTCCTGGCAGCCAGGGTACTGGAACCAGGTCTGAGGACTGTCCTGGAGGCCCACATCACATCTGAAAGCAGTGTTCACAGTAAAGATACGGAATCACCAGACAGGAATGAAGTGACTTACAGGGTGTTGTAAATTAAAATCGTTCATTTATTCATTCATTCATTCTTTTATAGAGAAGGTCTTGCTATGTGGTTCAGACTGGCCTTGAACTCACAGCAATCCTCCCGCCTCAGCCTCCCGAGTGCTGGGATCACAGGTGTTTACCATTTAGCACCAGTGTTTTCTTTCTTGAAGCTTCCGCCTGAGGGAGCTGGAAGTGTCCCGAGCACGAGCAGTGTGGGGGCTGGGAACTCGCTGGGCCCCACCATGCAACTGTGGCGTGACTGTGCTCAGGCAGCGGGGAGATTTTCCTGCGCTCCTCCGGGCTCCTGGAGAAGGATGGGCATCACAGGAGACACAGGTGGCAGCTGAGGTGCTGGGGGGCCCACGGGCAGTGGCCATGGAGGACACTATCACCCAGTGGAGACTGGGGGTACAAGGTGACAGTGCAGACTGGGCGGTCCCTCTGCGGGCTATGGGGGGCAGCTCTGGCCTGTTCTGCCTCTGGGACCCCCAGGCCACCAAGTCCCCCTGCCTCTGCACACTGGCTCATGGGCCCACCTTCCTGGCCCAGAGCTTTGTTTCAGGTGGCCCGGGCCAGCACTTCCTGTCCAGAACTGGCACCGAGCAGGGCGGGTCCCCAGCAGAATGTCCTGGGGACGCACTCCAGCGCTTTACTGCCTCCTTGGGAAGCCGCAACCTGCTCATAGGGAGGCGTGGTGGGCCTGGTTTGGGGTGCAGGGGACGCTGAGCCCAGGGAGGCCGCAGCGAGGCGGGGGGATAACTGACAGGAGGGGACGTTGCGCTGCTGTTCAGGCCCACGCTTTAAATGCTTCTTGAATTCTTCCTGAAAGCAGATCTGTCCCGCTGGTCATTTCCTCTGAAACGTCCGGCGCCCTTTCATTCCTGCGGGTGCTGCTCACTGCACAGCTTTGCTGCTGGGAGCAGGTTTGCTTTTCCCCAAACACTGGCACTTTCTCGTTTTGGTTTTGGGAGACAGGGTCTCGCGTTGTAGTCTAGGCTGTCCTTGAACCCTCAGTGATCCTCCTGCTTCAGCCTCCTGCGAGCTGGGATTACAGACATTTACCACCGTGCCGCGCACACTGTGGACGTGTTTCTCTCAGAGGTTGCTCCGGAACAGGTGGCCTGTGTCCCCAGAAGGCTCTGTCCTGGACCAGGCGTACCGGCCCCGCCCCTGCTCCTGCTCCTGCCCCTGCCTGCAGGGGTTTTCTCCCGAGTCCTGGCCGCGGCAGCACTCCTGACACGGAGCCCCTCGGCCCAGTGAGTGTCCGTGCGCTTGTCCCTGTGCTGCCGCAGGGTGCGTGTGGTTCGGGTCCCTGTCCCCGGAGCGTGTGACACGCTGGGAAGCGCTGAGGTTGGGTGTGATTCACGGAGGCGGTGACGGGGAGAACAGTCTCTCTGAGCTCCGGGAAGCAGTGGGACGAGCTGGAAATGTGAGTAATGTATAATTTCACTAAAATTGCTGCCCAGGTCTCGGGACCTTCTGTTTCTCAGGGTCTGCTGGCTCCGTGACGCCGGCGGCACCGTGTTCCCGCGCAGTTTCTGCCTGGTGTGGGGCCAGGCGGGAGCACCGTGACACCAGTGTGGGATGGCGGCCCCTGACACCCTCTGGGCATGGCTTTCCTTGGTGACACCTTTCAGACTCGCGGTTGGGTACTCTGCGTGGGCAGTGGGTGTGGGGCATCCGTGACCTTGGCAGCGGGGGTTCGGCCTGTGCCTTTTGTCACCGGCGTCTGTAGGGTCCTTGCCAGCTGCGGCCCCTCCCCGGGCTTCCTGTCCCTGCTGGAATGTCAGCACCGCGTCTCACTCTAGTTGTCACACGATCAGGGCTCAGTTAACACTGGCTGAGTAAACAGAAGCCTGCCCGGCACCCTGGGCCCGAGCAGCTCCTCTCAGCGAAGGCATCCTGGGTGCTGGGCAGGCTGGGCTCCGTGATGTGTCCGGGAGAGTTCAGTCAGAAAGCAAACTTCGTTTTTCTCCAAACTGGAAGGAACTAACTCTCAGCACGTGTGAGAACGTGCTGAGAAACGGTTGAGGTGTCACACCCAGCTAGGTGAGAGCCGGGGGTGTGAGCCCCGGAGGCCTCGAGTGCGCAAACGCGTCTCAGGCCTGCAGTCGCTGCGGAGGAGCAGTGCGCGCACGCTGGTGTCCACGCGGGGGAGGAGGAGTCTTTTGCACTGTCCTCTGGGCATCGCCGGGACGAGTGGCATGCAGGGGACCCACTGTCTAAACAGGCAGAACATCCTCCCCCAGGGTTGTCTTCGCGGGATAGATGTTTATTTCTCGGCTGCTCTGAAGGTATTCCGTGCGGTCAGCCGGAGAACAGAACCATAGCGCCGTGTCCCGTGCCCGTCACCCCGAGTGGAGCCCCGAGTGTGGGGCTGCCCGGGTGCTACTCCATGCTGGCCCTGCACCTGCAGGCCCAGGACCGTCTGTGCAGGCGGCTGCCCGCGGGCTGACGGGGCCTGTGTCTGCCTGCCCGTGTCTCGTCCCTGCTTCGGGGTCACCGTGTGCTGTGCGCACAGGCAGGGAGGGGACGCCGCCTCCATGAGAAGTGTGCGATTCTTAGGGAACAGGCCCAGAGGTCTTCGTCTGCCACAGTGTGATTTGAAAGACTAGATGCAGGTCGTGGAGACAGAGGCCCTGGTGCCAGAGGACGCGGTGCACCGGAGGGAGGGACCCGAGGCTGAATAGGTGGGGTCACGGGGTCCATGTGACGGGCGCAGAGCCCCGAGGTGCCCTGTGGGTCCGCCCTGAGCAGGGGCCGTGCGGGAAGCGGGAGGTGGGGTTGCTGACCACAGTGGAAGGCTCTGGGCGCGTGGAGGTGGGACCCGCCTGTGGGAACGGTGCCCCGCCTGGGGTCCCTTGGCCAGGGCTCCCCTCCTAAGGGCTCGTTGCTTTCTTCCAGGAACAAGACCAGCAATGGAGACTGCCGCAAGGACCCCCGGGAGCACAGCCGCAGCCCCATCGAGCGAGCCGTGGCCCCCACCATGGGCCTGCACGGCGGCCACCTGTACAGCTCCCTGCCCAGCCTCGGCGTGGAGCAGCCGCTCGCCCTGACCAAGAGCAGCGGGGACACCGGCAGGGCGGCTGGCCTCTCACCCACACTCACGCCCGTGGAGCGGCAGCAGGTACGCGCGCACGGGTGGCGGGGCACCTTGGGCTGGTCCCTGTGGGGGGCTCTTTGCTTTGGGCTGGAATCTTTTCAGCGCGAGCTGATCAGAGGCCTGGGACTGGCACATAGTAACAGAAAATGGGGAAATTATTATAATAGTTGCTCGGTAGAAAAATCCCTTTTGAAAAATGAGGTTTTTGGGGGACCTCACAGTACAGGAAGGCCTGGTGGCTGTGGCAAGAAGCCAGCGTGGACAGTGGCGGGGCTGCCAGGGCGCAGGGGTCCCTGCCAGGTTCGGGGTGGGCAGCGGCACAGGCTGCTGTGACGTGGTGTCACTGCCCTGTGTATGCGCACGGTGCTCTCCACTTGGAGCTCGTGGCCAGGCGCCCTGCTGAGGGTACGAGGGTGGCCCCACACCGAGCCCTGCGCTCCAGAAGCTCGGGGAGTGACGCGTGAAAAAGGTGCAAAGACGCCGGAGGGCGGAGGCCACAGCGAGAGGCAGGCCGCACCCTTGGGGCCGTGTGGCAGGAGCGGCCTCCTCCTGGCACTGGCAGCCGGGCGTGGCTCCAGGCCCACGTCAGAGGCGGTGTGCAGGGCTGCGGGGACGCAGAGGGAGAGCAGCCGCCTGTGTGGCGTGTCCTGGGGGCTGCCGGGTTGCCTGGGGCCAAGTCCCTGGCTGTGCTGTCACACAGTGGGGACAGCGTGGGCAGAGCGCCCAGCACGTGACAGCAGAGTCAGGGTCGGTCCAGGCTGAGTCCTTGTGGCTGAGGCCAGGAGGGGCCCCGAGCTTGGGCCTTCAGTGGCCTCGTCCCTCTGGACGGTGCTGACCCGGGGGCTGGGCATCCCCCAAGCTCCTGGACACCCTCTTTGGCAAGGCCCCCCACTCTGACCTCTGCTGGTCAGGACTCCAGGAGGGAGGAGGAGACAGATGCCAGCTCAAGCTGCCCCAGGAGGCTGCAGAGGCCAGAGGTGTTTGAGGGACACCATGTGGAGGTGACAGGAGGGAGCGAGATGGCGGCAGCCGGACCGGGTGGGGGCTGCGGCGTCTCATCTTGGTCACAACAGGAAGGAGCCAGCTTGAGCTGGTTTTGCTACAGGCAGAACCCTGCGGCCTACTGGGAAGGGCCCAGAGGGACCTAGAGGTCCTGTGGGATCCAAGAGCACCTGGGCCCGCAGTAGCAGGAGCGGGCGTCCCTCCTGCCACCTTGTGACTTAGTCCCTGGTGCCCAGCGCTTGTCCTGGCCCCTCGCTGGCCCCAATGCCATGAGCAGGGGTCACGCTCCAGAGAGGACAGTGCAGGGGAGGGTAGCACTGGGGACACAGTGCCATGGCCCTGTGTGCGCTAAAGCGCTGACGCCTCTTCCTGCAGAACCGGCCCTCGGTGATCACCTGCGCCTCAGCGGGCGCCCGCAACTGCAACCTCTCGCACTGCCCCGTCGCGCACAGCGGCTGCGCCGCGCCCGGGCCCGCCAGCTACCGGAGACCACCCAGCAGTGAGTGTCCCTGCCGCCCGTGCCGCCTCACTCTGGAGCGCATCCTTCGTCCCTGGCCGGCAGCGGGTGGGGAGACACGCGTGGGTGGGGCCCGCTGTTCTGAGTGTCACTGGCCAGGGCAGCAGGTGCCTAAAACGTGACCTGCCCTCGTTTCCCCTGCAGCCGCCCCTGCCTGCGACCCCGTGGTGGAGGAGCACTTCCGCCGGAGCCTGGGCAAGAACTACCAGGAGCCGGAGCCGGTGCCCAACTCCGTGTCCATCACCGGCTCTGTGGATGACCACTTCGCCAAAGCCCTGGGTGATACGTGGCTGCAGATCAAGGCGGCCAAGGACGGAGCGTCCAGCAGCCCCGAGTCAGCCTCACGTCGGGGCCAGCCAGCCAGCCCCTCCGCCCACATGGTCAGCCACGGCCACTCCCCGTCCGTGGTCTCCTGAGGGCACTCGGCACCACGCCTGTCTGCATGGTTTGCCTGAGCTTTGAACAGTCAGTACTTTAAAAAAAAAAAAAAAAAAAAAAATCCTGGGGTGGGCGGGGGGAGGGGCGGGGCGGTCTGTCCACAAACCCGTGCTGTGGGGTTCTGTGCTCTTCTGTCTCATACTTGCGTGACGTCCTCACGAGGGGCCCTCAACGTGCCAGGAGGCGGCGCGCGGGTCGGCGGGCGTGCTCTGTGGCGCTTGTTTCCTGCCTTGGTTACCAAAGAAACCTCTGGCACAGTGTGCGGCCGGTCAGGACTCCAGCGTCCTCAGCCACAAGCCATGATGACTTCGGGGGTCCCGGCACTCTGTGCCCTTCTCGTGTGCTTCCCGAGGCCCGGGGTGTGTGCGCGTGTGTGTGCGTGTGTATACTTGAAGAGAAGCGTGCTGTCTGATTTGCACTATTGGGGGACGGAGGCTCTGCCTGGCAGCTGCCGCAGGACACTGGCACCCTGAGGGCAAGGTGCTGGGACCGCAGGGCGGCCGCTCCCAGCCGTACACGTTGGGGTGCAGTGAGGTTAGAGGAGCTTGGGGTGCCGCACAGGCTGCAGTCTTCTCTAGATTCGGGGCTGCACCTGGGTCACAGGCGCCGCCGCACGGGCATTCACCCTCTGGGATCACTGCAGCTGTCAGAGCCTGACGTCGAGGACGCCGTAGTGCTTTAAAGAGGACTCGTGTTTTAACGGAGAAAAAATAGCTGGTTTCTATTAATTGTATAGACACTAAGCAGCCCAGAGTACTTACGGCTTCTTTTCAGAGCTAGTTTGTCAGTCCCAGACCTAGATCTCCCTACTGCTGGTACAGTTGTACTCTGAGCTCTGTGTTTGATCCTCTACCCACAAGGAGCGCGGGCGCCGCACCTGGCAGGCAGCGGGCAGTGGCGGGAGCAGGCGTGGGCTGCAGGTGGCCAGCACCACTGCCCCTGGGATCCCCCCTACCTGGTGACGCCCCCCCGGGGACCCGGATGGTGTCTCCCAGCTCCCCGGGCGCAGCCTGCTCCCCGGGCTGACCGCAGATGGCTGTCGATGCGCACCGTGTTCTGTGTGCTTCTGGTGCGTGGGGCCAAGGCCGTGTACATTCCTGACTTTACCCAGTTACGACTGCATTTATCGTCTGCCATATTCACAGCTACTAACTAGACATTAGAAGCACCCGAGACAGGGCTGTGGGTGTCCCACAGCCGCTCCTCCTCTTGGTCAGTGAGCGTTTCTGTCCCCACCCCAGGGGTCTGTGTCAGCCTGGCCCTCCAGGGGACTCGAGACGTCACCTGATTGGGTGACACGGGCGTGGCCACCTCAACTGTGAGGTCTGAGGGCACAGGCGCCCTGAGCCAGCTCGCAGTAGGCGAGACGCCCGGCCCGCTGTTGGGTTTGGGACGTTGGGTGGGAGGGCTGGGTCTGGCTCTTGTGGTTAAGCTGGTCAGGCTGCTGCTGGCCTTCACGGAGTAGAAGGAAGTCCTCCTCCAGCCCCAGCCACTCCCACTGGACCGGGCTTCCACGCTTTGGCATTCAGGCCCCTGTATTTTCTGTAGGAAAAAAAATCATTGAGAACACTTTTTTTATATAGGTAACTTTAAGACCATCATTACGCTGTGCGTAAAGAATGTACAGAGAAATTTGTAGGTATTTTTTGAAGAACAATTAATTTGTTAATGATATGTAGCTATTTAATTTTTCCCTTTCCTATCATAATCATTCATTTTTTTTTGTTGTTGTCGTTTGGAAAAAAAAGTTGATCTTTTTTTTGGTCGTGGATGTGTCCGTAAACGTGCAGGAACACAGGTACTCTGAGACCACCATCCGCATCATAGCCACACGTTTGTTACTGCTACAGGCTACTGAGCGCGGGCCAGAGCCGCCGCCGCGGACCCTTCCTCGGCCAGTGAGTGGGCGCCGCTTGGGGACGGTGGTGCTGGTGGCCGGGTCCCCGCGCCAACCTATCTGGGATAGGCCGTCCCCCAGACCCGGGTCGTCCGCGGCGCGTTCTGACTCCTCTGATATGTGTAAATCTGTAATATACCATTCTCTGTGGCCTGTTTTTCCTGGAAGAAGAAAAAAAAAAAAGGTTTGGCAGGCCATCTTTTTTTTGTACTTAAAAGTAGCCTTAAGAACAATAATAAAGTGCTCTTAAACCACAGGCTGGCTGTGTGTGTGGCTCTCGAGTCCAGGGGCGGCGGGGCGATGGCCCTGAGCTGCCTGGTGTGAGCAGGAGGAGGGGGCTTCAGCCTCCACTGTCTCTGCTGGGAGACGCGGCTCTAGACTTGACTGACTCTGAGATGTGCTGAAGCCGCCAGGATGGAAGTGTGGAAGGAACGGGCACGTCCAGTGCCAGGCAGGCAGCCCCGTGCACCCAGGGCCGCCTCTTGAGCAGGACACAGCCCAGGTCAGGCCAAGATGTTCAGGAGCCACTTGGGCACCCCGTGCCCCCCGCAACAAGGTGGCCCCTGTTGCACAGGCAGCCTGGCCAACCCACCTCACCCCCAGCTTCCACCTACAGGTGAGGTTAGAAGAGCCCAGGGACATGGGTGCTGCCTCCAGTGTGGACACCCCTGGGGGCCTGACCCTGTGACACAGAAAAAACGGCACGTGGAGGGGCTGCGCCCAAGGGCTGTGGTGCCAAAGCTGAGGTTATTATTGCAGGCAGGACGGGCAGGACGTGGGATGGGGTGAGGGTCCTGGTCCTCGGGCTTGGGGCGGGGACGCGCAGGCCTGGAGTCACCCGTCCCGGCTGCTGTCCTGCCCCAGCGCGCCTCAGCGGTGGTCTCAGAGGGTCTCCTCGTCGCTCATGTCCCAGATCTGCATGGAGAAAGGGAAAGCGTCAGCCCAGCTGCCGGCTGGGCCCCCGGACGTGGTGGAGCTACAGCTGCCTCGACCACAGGAGCAAGGGCCCCGCCTGCAGGACAGGGCGCCGGACCCCGTGCCCGGTGCTGCAGCTGCTGCAGGCCTGAGGCAGGGCTGTGGGGGCGCTGCCTGCTCTGAACTGCAGTCCACTGTCTGCCAGACAGACCCAGGGATCTGGCTACGGCCCGGTACCCCTGCCAGTGTGTCCCTGGGGAGCCGGCCCGAGGGTGTTAACGAGGTACTACAGGGCAGGGAGGGACAGCTCCTTCCGGAGACCCTGCGCAGACCCCTTGCCCACCCTCAGAGGTGCCGCAGCTGTACAGCAGGTCCAGGCCCTGTAGCCAGAGCTCCCCCTGGACTTTGGCTGCAGACCTTCCCGATTTCCAGAACCGGCTCCCACAGGCCGGCCCGGCCCGGCCGGAGGAGCGCAGGGACAGTGTGCTCGCGGGGAGGCGGCCCCAGGTCAGCACGCGGCCTGGCTTCCAAGTCCCCGCGTGGAAGGTAAACTAGGGAAGAAGGACCCTCCGGCCCGAGCTGAGTGGTGGCAGGCGTCCCTGTCAGCCCCGGACCCCAGGCTCGGGCAGCGCCTCCACGGTTCAGCCAGGTGCGGGGGCCCAAGGCTCTTCCCCAGCAGAACACAGCCCCAGGCGCTACTGCGTGGGGCCCAGTGTTTACAACTCCAGGCCTGATCTTCTGGCTCTGGAGGTCTAACGGGGGAACGGAACCACTAAAGCAGTGACGGCGAATCTTCTAGAGCTTTCAGTGACACGGCCCGCTGCGGCACACGCGCCTTTGGTTTGCCACCACTGCGCTAGAGCGTTGGCTGGCGTAGTTCAGCCGGACACATTTCTGCAGCCCTTCCTGGGCCCCACGCTGTGTGGCCCTAACACAAACGCCCCCTCCTTCACGCCTCACAGGCAAACAAGCTCAGAGCTAGCGTGGCTTCCCTGGGCCACACAGCAAGCAGGCTGCAGGTCCAGAAGCACAGGAGTGGAAAAGGAAGGGGCTGTGGTAGGAGACCCAGGGTGTGAGTGCTGGGGCCTGCGGTCTCTAGGGCTTCCCCTGCCGCTCACAGGAGCCACCAGCTAGAGCAGGACTGGTGCCAGGGAGCGATGCTCTCTGTGAATGGGCGGCCAGGGTCGTGTGCAGGACTGTAGGGGGCATCCGGTGACCCTGTCCCTCTCGTCACCCGCTGACTCAGACCTTGGCCCTGGAGAGTGGTGTCCTGCCCTGTGGAGCCTCTGGGGACCTGGCTGGCCCCTGTACAGCCATGTACTCCCAGGTCACTTGCTGGGTGGGGGCTGCCAGCACTGCCTGGGCCGTGCACAGGACTCGGGGACACCCAGAGCACTGACTAGCACAACCCTGGTTCCAGAACCTGTTCCCTGGACAGGGAGCGGGCAGCCTGACCTCCCCCTTTGTAGGGCACAAGCAGCAGCAGCAGGCTTCTCTTAAAACATCAGGAGCCCAGGCCTCGTCTCCTGGACCCCGGGCTTGGGGTGAGAGCAGCTGCAGATACCCCCTTACTGGGTGAAACTTGCAGGACCCTGGCGAGGGTTGCTTAGGATGCTGACACTCGGCTGGCGCGATGAGAAGCACCGCCACGCAAAGGCATGGATGGGACCGCAGGTTTCCAGAGAAGAGATCTGCCAGTGTCCATCCTCTAAGGAAGGAACAAACGATGTCCTTTACACACAATACACAGCACACCTAGAAACGCCCAGAAAACAAACATTGGGATGAATACAGACAAAATCGAACACTTTCCTTAAGTCAGCAAGATATAAAATGAATGAGTTCCAGCCCCCTGTGTACAAACAGCGTCAGCCAGCAGCAGAGCGAGATGAGCCTTTGGTAAGAGCAGTAAAAGAGAGAGACTGCCAGGGAAAAACAAACCTTCAAAGCGTCCCTCACAGATCCTCCAACTCAGGAGAGACTGAGTGAAATGCAGCAAAGGATGCTGGTAGCAGGTGATACAAAATCAGCACATCAGCTTTTCCCAAGTGAATATACAGATTGAACACAATCTCCTGTTTTGAAAATCAACAGGCATCTTTTCTGGCTCTGAAGTGTCTGTGGAAATAGGGTGTCCCGGAGCAGGGAGAAAGGCCGTGAGGCGCCCTGCTCCACCCTTCTGACATCTCCAGCTTGGCATGGGGGCTCCTAACTCAGAGGGCGGTGCTGCCATGGCAACAGCAGCAGCCCAGGGAAGAGAGGGAACCCAGAGCAGGAGGGTAGAGTCCAAGCATGGGAGGAGATCTAGAATTTAACAATAAAGGTGTACGGCCTGAGATCTCGGTGACTAACATGAGTTTTCTAGTGTGTGGTACAGGGACAACTGCAGTGTCACTTGAAACAAGGTAAAATCGATTCTGTGCTTTATACTGTGCGCCAGAATCAATTCCAAACAGAACGTCATCTCGCGGTGAGAGAAATGCAGCCATGAGCAGTCACGGGTGCGTGCCTCTACCCACGGGGAAGCCTGCGGCCCCAAATCCGTAATGGAACGATGTGCTGGACTCTGCAAACACCCACGCGTGCAATTTTACAGGAAAAACACCAGGAAAAGCAAGAAGATGGAAGAGACTGCAGCACGCAGGACCCCTGCAGGGCCGCTACTCTCCCCAGCACAGAGCTCTTAGAAACCAGTAGGAGAAAGACCAATAAAGCAACTAAGAATGTAGGGCAACCATGTGGGCATGCGCCGAAATAGATGGGCAGGTGCCCTTCAAAGGAGAGCACGTTCTCAGGGCAAAAAAAGAAAAACGTCTGATCGACATTTTATAGACTTTTAAGTGCCCGGTTTGTGAAAGACACCGCTGTAAAGAAAAGGAAGTTAGAAACGAGAAAGTATCTGTACATAAATACACTGTGCCCATCACATATAAACAGTTACTCTCTTAACAAAGAAACAAGCAAAGGAATACAAGTCAAAGCTAAACCGGTTTCATCTCCTCCTGGCCGGAATGGTGACCATCAAGAATACGAAAAACGAGATCATCATTTTGAGCCAAAGAAGCCAGACTCACGAGTACCACACTCTCTAATGTATGGAATCTACAAAGAGGACAAGAGAATGAAGGAGACTCTTGCTAGATGAGGAGGAGGAAATGGGGGCTGTGAGGTGGGGAATGGGTGAAATGACTGTGATTGAAATCCACGAACCGACTCCCCCCAAAGAATGTGACGTTTGGGGGAGGGTGGGCCAGAGGTGACAAGTATGTTCTGTGCGTGTACAAATCTGCCAAAACGCAGCTCCTCTGTGTAACCAATATGCACTAATAAACGTGAGGGGAGAAAGAAGCGAACTCGTTTGGATGAGGATTTAAACACAGCTTTCGTACTGGAGGAAATACAGTGGCCGGGAAGACCCAGAAACAGTCCGCAGGCAGTGTGAACCGAGCCACACGGGCACCACCCTTCAGAGGAGCTGGGCAACAGTGAGGGGCCGGGTAGGCGGCACCAGGATCCCGGAGGGTGTGGAGCTGCCAGAGGCGCACACAGCTAAACGCGGACCAGCCACGCCACTCCCATCCGCCCATGCCCCTGAGAGGTGGGCAAGACTGCTCCTGCGCCTTTGTTCCCAGCGGGCACAAACGAACTCTCTCCCGTGTGCATCTGCAGGAAACAGGAAGTCAGCTTGAACAGCTACACAATGGGCTCACAGTTGGACCTGGTGCGTCCCTCCCCGGCCCGTGTGTTACAGGCTCGGTTCCCAGCGTGGCACTGGGGGAGGTGGTAGGATCTAGAAGCGAAGCCCAGAGCGGGTCCTGCAGTCTGTGGGGTTTTGGCCTTGCAGGGGACACTGGGACCCCGCCCCTGCCTCTTCCTGCCTTTCTGCCCTGTGTGAGTGTTGGGTTCTGCTCCCCGCGCACGCTCCACAGTGACGTGCTGCTCCCCATGGACCAAGAGCAACAGAGCCAACCCCCCAGAGCTGCAAGCCACGGCGGCCCTTTCCTCCACGCGCACGGGGCATCTCAGGTTGGTGCCGGAACTAACACCAAGGGACGCACGAGTGACGTGTGCAGCCAGGGAGGACGGTGAGGCTGGCGGCGGAGCGGAGTCAACTGCGCACTGGAGACCTGGCTGGTGCCGCCAGGAGCCGGAGCGCAGGCCCAGGGTGAGCTGCTGGGCAGTTGCGGGCACTCAGCACACACAGTGTCTCTCAGAACTGCGAGCGCACCGTGAATGTCTGCAAGGAAAGAGGCGGACACGAAAGGCGCGGCCCTGCACCGGCTCGCTTGTATCCCTCCCCGGAAAACTAGGTACAGTGACAAAAAGGCCACTAGGTCTCACAACCCAGCAAGTGGTGCCCTTCAGGTCTACAAACTACATCTCAGAAAAGCTGATTTTTTTCCCCCTAAAATCTACACTGAGATACCATCATCTTACCCATCAGATGGGCAAAAATCCCACAGCCTGACTACAGCCCCCCGTGAGTATGCGGGAAACGGTCCCTGCGCCCGTCACCGGCCACAGGCCGGGCAGCACCCACAGAGGCCAACGGGGTCGTTTCCAACAGTTACTTGGGCCCTAAACTGTGCCCCCCAGGAGTCGTTCTGAGGACTCCCCCCACCACGCAGAGGTCATTGTTCAGGAGAGGGCAGGGCACAGGGACGGAGGCTCCCACTCACCCCGAAGCCATGCTCGGGAGGCGGGGGAGGCCCATCACAGGGCGTAGCCAGACTTACCTCACTTAGCAAGAAAAACCCTTGTGAATGAAAGAGAAAGCATTTAATTTTGCAAAAATGAGCACACAAGAGATAAATCAGAAACTAATTTAAATGCCTCCATAGGGGGTGGGGACAGAGCTGACGCTGTCTGAGCAAATCTTTTAATACAGGCTCCACTAGAGCACACCATGCTTAAAAAGAGAAAGGAAGATAACCAAAACACAAGCCACAAAATGAGGATAACGAAAGTGGGCTTCGTCAAAATTAAGAACTCATGGGCTT